GTATAGGGGGGTATAGAGGTCGTATAGGGGGTATTGGGGGGGCGGTTTGAGGGTGTTGGGGGGGTGTATGGGGGTATTGGGGCCGGGTTTGGGGGTGTTGGTGGGGTTATTAGGGGTTCTGGACCAACAACAACAAAAACAAAAAAACTTTGTTTTGGACTTAATTGCATTTTTCATCAAACGAGATGCCAAAATGTTAAGGGAAATTATTCTGGCTGAAATCGAAGTTTGTAATTATTTACGGAGGTAATTGTGGGCAGGTACATCCAGGTCCGGCCGTAAATGAAGTCAGGTACGTTCGATATGAGAAAAGATTGGCGTCTTCAGTGTGAATGGACCTTGCATCAAAAAAAAAAAAGAAACTTGCATCGTTGCAATGTCACAGCACCACAAAACAAGCGTTTGGCTCGTTATAGGACTTAAACCAACATCTCACAACAAGAGGTGAAAACAGCCATGCAGCACCTGAATGAAGCCAAAGATCCAGTCCCACTCTTACAAGGACTCTCTCTCTCTCTCTCTCTCTCTCTCTCTCTCTCTCTCTTATACCCCAAGGGCTTGTAAGGTTTTGAAAAGTTCCCAATTTTAAGAAGATGCCCAATTTTAAGAGGACTCCCAATTTTAAGAGGATTCCCACGAATTTTAAGAGGATTCCCACGAATATAACAAATCCAACAATGCCTACTTTCACTGGATCTGTGCATAAAACGCATCCAGATTCAGGAGCTCCATTGGATCCAGCTATGTGTACTTTCACTGCATTAGCTTCAGGGTACCAAATATTATTGTACTGGTACGGTAGTACCATCTAATGGGCACTTCCACTGCAAAAGATGGGAGTCATGGGACCATAGCATGAGCTGGGGAGCATAGGCACTTATGATATGGGACCATAGCATGAACTCGGACCTCTAACATTACGGCAATTCCGTCTTCTTTTTCTTTTTTTTTTTCCCACAATCAATCGACTTATATTTGTTCGTAGTCCTGGTCAAATACATTCAGGAAAGTGCAAGTGTGAGTAAACTCTCATAGAGGTCGGTGCGGTACTTCCGCCCGTACACAATCAAAATTTAAGTGAAGAGAAGAGAAGAGGGTGTTACAAGCAGAACGGGCCACAATCAAGGCCAATTGTCTTCACTATAATTTAGGAAAGGGGGAGGGGCGATTTGGTAATACTGTCAACTCTAAGAGAGGACAGTGGCATTAACTCACCAGTCAACAGAGATGCTAGCAGTTCCAGTCCCCGGTCCAGAGTTTCTCTCTCCTTCGCCGCGAGAGCTGTTCCGCAGCCGAACAGAGCGTCGCAAGCATTAACAAAGATGGCAACTCCTCTCTTCTCCTCGAATACTCGCTTCCCTTCATCGTCATCGCTCACCCCTGTGTCTATCACCCGTGCCATAGCCTTAGCTACCTCATCTCCAGCAGGACGCTGGTGCCGCCCTTCATCGGCACCACCCTCCTTGCTTAAGCAGCCCTTGCTATCTCCATCGGCACCACCCTCCTTGCTTAAGCCGCCCTTGCTATCTCCATCGGCACCACCCTCCTTGCTTAAGCCGCCCTTGCTATCTCCATCGGCACCCACAGTCTCACCGTCTCCATTTCCACCGGCACTTCTTCTACCAATCAAACCACCGCCACCACCGTCATCGCCGGTGCCAGTGCCATTCTGTCCAGATGCATCTGCATCAGTCGACCTCGTCGCCATGTCGCGCTTGCTACGGCAGCTCTCGTAAGCTCCAACCGCCATCTCCAACAGCTCAAGGGCCTCCATAGCCGGATGAACGCACCCGCTACTGCAAGCGCCACCTGGTGTCGTGACAATTCCTGGAAAATGCACAGAAATGATTGCTGGTATTAGGCCATACTCGAGCTTGTTGTACTTTCTTCCGGAATGTATTTTACTGCAAGGGTCCTGACTGACCACGTCTTGCCAGAGTGTATCACAATGCATGCAACGTCACCATTCACACAGGTTATGACTCAACACACACAACGCAGAATGGGCATGAGATGAGAACCAAGTGGCGCAGCTTATATTATCTCAAACACATTATAAAGAGTATCTCGAGTTCATGAATTCAAGCGCTCAACAATCATGACATGTCCCTCTCTCGAACATCAGCAAAATGGGGCCTGGCTGAGCCAGCGCCACCTCTCAGCAACTCGTCAAGCGCAGAACAGGTATGAAGTCACCATAGCCACTCGTCAACATGTCCTTCTTCTCTCTCTCTCTCTCTCTCTCTCTCTCTCTCTCTCTCTCTCTCTCTCTCTCTCTCTCTCTCTCTCTCTCTAGATCTCAGTCTTAGTCTTAGTCCCCCTCTCTCATCTTACATGCACACTCCTACCACGAAGATCTACTTTGAATGCTACTCACTGTAGACTAACAACTAACCCTCTAACTATGCTATCTAGCTGGTGCAGCTATGGCTGCCTCTTGCAAGCCAGCGCCCAGCTCCTTCCTCCTTCCAGCGCAGCTTCTCCTCAAGCGCTAACCCAGCCAGCCAGCGCACAAGTGCATGCAGCACTTCCACCCATGCATCACTTCCACGCAATACTGCTGGTGGTAATCTGCTGTCAAGGGAGGCTGGCCTATTGCTTTATACTGCTGGCCTCCCCTGGCGAGGTCTGCATTGGTCTGTATTGGCGCTTTGGGCCTCCTTCAGTCCCAGACCCATGCATATGTGTGTGTCCCAGTATTTCGCCCTCAGGGTCTGCTGCTGCTGCGGCCATCTGGTCTGGATTTCGGACTGGGTGTCTGAATCTAGACCCCCTATGAGACTTAGACAGAACTGGGAACCTGCCCTTTGACTTCCTTTTGGACAGACACACATTCTGCACGAACAGACACTCATACTGCACGAACAGACACATCTCTTGCCTGAACAGACATGACCTGCGCACCCCCTGGACGAACAGACGTGACCCCCAAATCTAGATATTGCAACTGTTCGTTCAGCGGCACAACTGTGACCTTTGACATTGGCTTTTGTTTAGTTAGGATGTGACTCTTGACCCAGAGAACATGTCCTTTGATCTGCTTTCACGAATTGGACTCAAGCGCGTGACCCCTCTATGCTGCATTTGCCGAACAGGGTCTAAATCGGGTAAAGGCCTTTTTACTCTCGCCGGCCTAGTTTCAAAGTCCTCTGCGAAAAAACCTTCATCTATCTATAACACTTATTCCTCTTTTAGCTCTTTCGTAAGCCAATACAATATGAGGTGCAGACTCTAGCAAATTTTCTCTTGTGAACCAGCGATCTTCACTTGGGTCTTGATAGGCGAATTTTACTTTATATTGTCGCTGGGGTCTGCCTCTTCGTCCAGTTTGGAAAGTGCTTTCAGCAACAATCTTATCCACATCATATTTCCCATCCATACTAGGAGGTATCGCCGATCTGCGACTGGGAAACAACTCATTTGTTACACGAGGTAAGAGCTTTGAAACGTGGAATACTGGATACGTATGCAAATGTAGAGGAATTTCAATTACATATGAAGGACCATCCACATCACCAATCACATTTAGAACCTGCCAAGGTCCTCTGTAGGTTGGTAACAACTTCTGAGAGATGTTCTCCTCAGGAACATGCCAAGGTCCTCTGTAGGTTGGTAACAACTTCTGAGAGATGTTCTCCTCAGGAACAAACTCTTTAGACTTAACCCACACCAGATCACCTACAGCAAACTGTGAAGGTCTTCTATGCTTATTTGCCTATTCAATCATCTGATGTTGTGCTTTGACAATATTTTCCTTTACCTTTCCAATGTTTTTTTGGTATTGAATCGCAAATTTGCTGGTTCCTAGTGGAAGCTTATGCACTTGATCCGGGTTTAGCCGATCAATAGGCCTGTGCGGACACCATCCCAGATGCAACTCCATCTGGGTCTTGCATGTAGATAGATGAACAAAGTTATTGTAGGCGCTAGCAACTTTGGGCAAATGTTCATCCTAGTCAATCTGGTCGGGACGAATATACATGCGCAGCGTTTGCTACAAAATCTTGTTCATTTGCTCAGTCTGGCCATTACTCTCAGGATGTCTGCCTGAACACATAGTCAACTTAGAGCCATAAACGTTCATTAGTTGCTGCCATTGTTCACTCGTGAACCGCGTGTCTCTGTCACTCACAATTGTTAAGGGATGTCCATAGTCTTTCACCCAATGGTTAAAGAACTCCCGGATTACCAATTTCGTTTTTGCTTTCGCTGGTAACGTAACAAAGACAGCATACTTACTAAATTTGTCTACAATTACCATTACTTGCGTCTTCCCATTCCTGCTTTTCACCTTAGTGTCCATAAAGTCAATGGACACAGAGTCTCCAAGACTTCTTTGGATAAGCAAAGGCTTTAGTAAACCAAGGGGAGGTTGTGTGGTGCTTTTATTCCTTTGGCACACTTGACAACCTTGCACATATTCAATGCAGTCGCGTTTCATGCGAGGCCAGGTGTAGGAACGCAAAATATTTGCATAGGTCTTCTTCCACCCGAAATGGCCTTCAGTATCATGACATTCCCCCAAGATCAAACTTTTGATCTCTTCTACATTTGGAATACAAAGCCTATCATGCACGTCAGTCCTTTCAAACAATAGTCCTTGTGTGATACGATAGTTAGGAAACTCTGTTGGCGCTTCCTGCACATGTTTAATCATAGGGTCATAGATAGGATCTGTGGAATAGGCATTCCTAATTTTCTCTTGCGTATCGGTGCCCACATCTAAATATGTTACAATGGCGCCGAAGAAATCTGATCTTCGACTTAATGCGTCGGCGACGACATTATACTTACCCTTAACTGGCTTCAACTCAAAGTCACATTGATCGATCTCAGTGGCCCACTTAGTCAACTTAGGTGTCATCTGGGCCTGTGTCTTAAGCCATCGAAGTGTCTCATGATCTGAATACACTTTGAAGTGCCTTCCTAGGAGATAGTGTCGCCATGATCAAGGGCTTCTCTGAGAGCAAACATCTCTCTCTCATACGTGGAAGCGGCAACCTTATCGTTAGGCAGTCGTCGGGACATGAACTCCATAGGTCTGTATCCATTTCCATCATCCTGCTGGAGTACAGCACCTATCCCTGTCTCTTATACACATCTAGATGTGTATAAGAGACAGGTACTGACTGGCGTCGGTTGTGACGACAAAGGGCAGCGAAGGATTAACAACTTTCAAAACCGGGATAGTTAATCAGACACTTCTTTAGGCGTTTAAACGAAGTCGTACAGTCTGAATCTCATTTCCAGATTGTTTCTTTTTTAAGCAATCTTCGAAGGGGCGCAACAATTATCGTGAAGTGTCTTACAAACTTTCGATAATAATTGGCTAGCCCAAGGAACGACCTCAATTCAGTCAAAGTGCGAGGGTTAGGCCAATCGCGTATTGTTGCTATCTTCGTGTCTTCCGGTTTGATTCCATCACCATCAAGTACATGCCCTAGATACAAAACCTGACGCTTAGCCCATTCACACTTCTTTGGGTACAATTTCAACTTTGCCTCACGCAATTTATTTAGTACAAGTCGAAGGTGTTCGCAATGTTCCTTTAAATCTTTGCTGAAAATCAAAATATCGTCGAGATATATAACGATAAATTTATCAAGCCATTCACGAAAATGTTCATTCATAGTTCTTTGGAAAGTTGCAGGGGCATTCGTAAGACCAAAGGGCAACACAATGAACTCATAATGGCCATACCTTGTTCGAAAGGCACTCTTGTGTTGGTCTTCTGGTTCTACCTCAATATGATGGTAGCCAGATTTCAAATCAATCTTTGTGAAATATTTACAACCCTGCACCCGATCCAATAAGTCATCTATTAGCGGCAGTGGTTTAACATTTTTGACTGTTATATCATTTAACCTTATGTAATCTATACACATGCGCACCCCACCATCTTTCTTTAGCACAAAAAGCACAGGCGCACCATAAGGCGAGGAGCTAGGCCTTATCCATCCTTTTTCCAGCATTTCAACAAGCTGGGTTCGCAGCTCGTCTAACTCTTTAGGTGACATTCTATATATAGGCCCCTTAGGAATTTAACTTCCTGGAATGATATCAATACGGTGTTTAATTGATCTCTCAACTACACCGCTTGGGGCTTCGGCCACATCTGCAAACTCTTTCAGAATTTTCTCAACTTCTGGGGACTTGGCCTCTTCTTTAGCTTCACCCTCTTTTACTAGGCGCACAAATGCAATAAAAACTTGGTCATACAAATTATATTTCCTCACATGGCGGGCGAACGAGGGGGCACTCATACAACAATGAGCTAAGCTACTTTCTTTACCTGATGCATGGAATAGGCAGATTCTCTTTTTTCCACCTTGCGGACTAGGGAGCCAACGCTCATGGTCCCTCATTTTTATGTCCGCATTTGCAGCTTCACCCCAATCCATTCCTAAAAGAATGTCAAAAGGGAGATTATCTTCCACCAAGAGAGTCAGAGAGTGGAGAACACGTTCCACCTTCCCCTCTGCTTCGATCCGGAAGTATATCTTAACCCCCTCAACATATTCATCCATCACAGGTACTTTACTATTAGCTAGTTTACTTACCACGGGCTCACCCAATTGCTTTACCTTAAGCCCGAGATGCAGTTTCTGCAAGCCTTTCTTACTAATATAACTGCGTGTAGACCTGCTATCTATCATTCCTCCTACTCTTACTTTATTGACTTCAAGATCTGCAATTATTAATTGTCCTTTACGTTTCTTCATTTCAGTCCAGGCTTGGCGACGAGCGGCCAACTCATCACCCACGCCAGCGAGGGATCCATCTAGAGAGATGCATACGCTTGCCACCTCTGGACAGTGCACTAGATG